GAAATATAGAGTTGGGTACTGTCGGCATACCGTAGATACCTCAACCCATGGTGATGCATGATCTCACCCAGCGGTTTCATGTACATGTTAAAAAGGAGCAGAGAGAATATTAAGCGCTGTGGCACGCCACAAGACAGTAACCCAGGGCTGGACCTCTCGGTCCCTTGTCACACCAACTGAGACCAGCTTTGGAGAAAGGAGTTAAACCAGTGCAAAATTGTGCTGCCCAGCCCCCGACTCCATAGTTGACCCAAAAGGATACCATGGTTGATGATATCGAAAGCTGAATTCAAGTTTTAAGTACCCTTTGGGGAAGGTCCATTGTAATATCTAACTGTTGCTAAGCAATTGGTCGTAAGTCAAGGACTACCTGTATATGCAATCAACTGATAGGTGGCAAATCCATGGAATAAATAGAGTCATAAATTTATCTTTCCAATGTTGCAACATCAGTCTTTTAGACATAGCATGGGTACAGAGAATCTATTTATGTTCTCCAGTTGTCAAATTCCATATACTACATATATAGTTCAAAAGATTATTGTCTGAAAACTTTAGCTTTTGTTGCACATGACGTTTATATAATCCACTACATTCTCCCAAAACTTGGTAAGTGTAGGGCAGTGGTGGCGAACCTATGGCATGGGTGCCAGAGGTGGCACTCAGAGCCCTCTCTGTGGGCACGCGTGCTGTCGCCCTAGTCCTAGGCCTTCAGCTGGGTTTTATAAAATCTTTTCGCTTTAGGCCTCCGTCGCCATGTACAAAAAAAAAAGGTTCAATCAATCAGTCAATTTCAACTTCTCGCGGGAAAAAAAGATCTCGCAAAGTTAGAATTGATTGATTGAATTTTTTAGTCCCACCTAGTCTGCCGTTACCACCACAGCCACGCCCATCCAATGGGCCACACCCACCCAGCACCCAACGATGCATAAGTGGGTTTTGGATTGCATTTTGGGCACTCGGTCTCTAAAAGGCTTGCAACCACTGGTGTAGGGCATTGTAAAAACATGTTTTAAAGAAGCATTATCCTTATTATATCTCCAAGAAAGTGCTTTTTTGACATATCTTTTCTGTACAAATGTAATGGAGCTCAATAGTCATAATTTGAGGCCCACAGAATTTAAGACACTTCCATTGTTTAGGCATTTTTTATTCCACTCTTTTCTTAACATTTGCGTATCAATTTGATTTATGATAACAGGGTTTTGGGTTTTAACGGATTTAACCAGACCAGTTGTTCTAGCATTTCAGAAATCTCAGAATTTGAAAATGTTGCTGGTCCAAACTATGTTGTTAAATGTTGTAATTATAAATATTGCCATTGTGTTATATCTGATAGTAGGGCTTTTCAACCATGTGTGAGTGAGAGCGCGGGGGAGAAGCTTTTGTGAACAAAGTGTGAGTGAGTGAAAGAGCTCGCCCTTTGTGAGCAAAATGTGAGTGAGCGAGAGAGTGGGGGAGAGGCTTTTGTGTGCAAAGTATGAGTGAGTGAGAGAGCAGGGGCTTTTGTGAGTGAAGAGTGAAAGAATAAGGGAAAAGTGAGGGGAGGAGGGAAAAAGAAAAGGTATTGACTTCTGACTTCCTCTGCTGCAGTAGAAGGAAGCATTAACATTGAACCTCAACTTTTTACTTTTCCATAATATTATAAACTAGCCATTTCTATAACAACAAATGAATCTAACCAGTAAAGCCCAAAATCCCCCCCCCCTTTTTTTTAGTTATCCAGTTTTTGACACTTTGCTAAGCACTGGTGGTACTCGAATATTGTCATGTCCTAAAAGTGTTACAATCTGTGAAAAGGTTGAAAAGCCGTGATAGATGATATCTGTCTCTTAACACAGAGTATGTTAAAAATTCATCTTTTTCTCAATTTTCAAAGTTGGGTTATTCCATAAAGTCAATTTGGCATAGATTGAAGGACTGAATCTTTTTTTATTAGTCATTCTATTCCATAACTTTTTAACTGATGTAATTCTTTTCAGAAATATTAAAGTTTTAATGTATTTGTGTCCTAATACTGTCTATCCAATCAAAGCCATATATTCTCAGAATCTATGGATCCCACAGAAATTTTCTACATATATTCTGAAAATATTTCTCAGATATATTAACTGGAATTTCTCTCCGAATATAAATTACCTGGGAAAAATATTCATTTTAAAGCATTCACCTTTCTCCAAAGGGTAAGATTTAATGACTTCCTTCTATTGATATCTGAAGGAACCTCTCTCTATATTTTATTGATATTACATTGCTGAGTTATATCCTTTGGGATACACACATCTCTATATATTTAATGGATTCAGTAGAAGTATAGAATTGGCATTACTTAAATGGATGGATAATTCAATTTTCACCTATTGGCATCAATTCTGACTTGGACAAGTTAATAGAATAATCTGTTATGTTGCTAAAGTTATCTATCTTTTGCATCAAAACTAGGATAGTAATATGAGGTTTAGAAATAAACAAAAGAATGTCATCTGCAAATAAAATCAATTTATATTCAATATGAATTATGTGCTACTCAAATCTCTGTATGTTGTCTAATAGCATAAGCTAAGGGCTCCACACAGATATTAAAAAGCAAGGGTGAAAGTGGATATCCTTGTTTAGTTCCTCTGAATAATGGAAGAAAGATGTCATTAACCTTTACTTTGGCTGTGGGCAACTCATATAATATCTTAATTCATTTAATGAATTCCAAAGGGAATCTGAATTTATTTAGTAAACAGTACCTTTTAGGTATTTTGTTATAAGTTTTTCAACATCTAATAATAAAATTACAAATTGTCATTTATTTTTACTCAAGTCTATAACTATGTTGTCTTCTATTTACATAGTTTATATAAACTATCATTGATCATTTTAAGTAACAAATGATCACTTGCTATAATCTATTTGCTAACACTGCTATTAAAATCTTTGTATCAACACTAACCAATAAGATTGGATGATAATTAGCACATTGTGTGTGATTTCTACTTGCTTTTGGTATAATTGTAATATAACCCTGTAATATAACACTGGTGATAAAATTCCACTATCAAATATCTCTTCATACATTTGACAAAGTTTTGGCACCAGAAGATCTATGAATGTTTTATACCACTTCATAGGAAAGCCATCTAATTCTGGTGTTTTACAGCTTGCCATTTAAAAAAAAAAAAAATTTGTTTAGTCTCTATCTTAGGTAGTGAAGCACATAAAAGTAGGTTTTGTATAATTTAAATGTGGCAAATTAATTTTATTTTAAAAGGCCTCATATATCCTCATTCAATACATCATCTGGCTTATTATATAATTCTGAATAATGTTTCTAGATATGTTAATATTTTATAACTCTGACAGGACTGATTTATAGTTTTATGAAATATCATAAACCATCTAGAGATCGTGCATGGTTGATAACTTCAGGTTGAAAAACAACATTCGGTTTTCATAAGGTTAGGGATCTCCTGAGAGACTGACAGTTTTGTCGTAAGAAGCATGTTCTAAATAATAAAAATAAGGCTAAATAAATAAATATTACAAATCAAAATGTAAACATCCAACTCCAACCCATTAGTTTTGAGTGGGGTTCCCTAGATTTGGGGGAGTCCATATTTGCATGATGTGGGTTTCCCAGGGTAAAGACAGTAGTATTGTGGCTTGTCGGTGGCATTGTCCTTTGGTAGTTGCAATAAATCAATGAGCTTTTTCTTGTAATTGCTGGTGGGATCTCTCTTCAGCGTCTCATATGTGGCAGTGTCCTTCAGAAGACTGTTTACCTTGGCCTTGTAATCATCTGTTTTCAGGATGACTCTGCATCTTCTATCAGCTGGCAGGATGGTGATATTTGGGTGTCTTTGCATGGCAGAACATAGGAGAACAAGCCCATCAGGACAAGATTCAGCAGCCCATCTGCATTTAAAAGACAAAGGCCACTCTTTTGAAGACAGCAAAGTCCACATTCTGGGCAGAGAGGACCACCGGTTTGAAAGAGGAGTCAAAGAGGCCATCTATGTCAACAGAGGGTGAGGGATATGACATCATTTATCTCCAGTCTACAACACAATCCTTTCAACAGTTCCAAGAAGGCTCCACACCCATTTGCACTACTTAGGTGATCCTGATGACAACAGATAAGTCTCCAGGGGCTTTAATGACTTGCTAAAACAATGCAAATGACCAGCTGTCTACAAGGAGTATAAATCCTACCATTCCCCACCATCCAGTCAGAGCTAAAGAAGCTTCTTGGATGAGAAGTAAAAAGTCTTCAAGAAAAACAAGGAAGCCCAGTTGCCTCATGAAAAAAGCACCTTTGAGATAATCATGACCTGGATGACCGAGAATCTCCATAGACACATCACAAGGAAAACACAAACATAAGAGCTACGTACATGTAGAACAGGTAAAAAATAGCTGGCATGAATATCTCTTTTGCTTATTCTTTTTTAAAAATAATATTTTATTAATTTTCCAATTTTAAATTTAAGTATTTAAAAAGCAATGTGGTGGCTGGGTTAATCAATAGTTCGATAACAAAATCTTTAGTACAAATCTCGAGTTACAATATCAAATATTTCCTCTCTTTTTCCCTTAACATCTACTGTCTCGTATTTAAGCTAGTATGGTTCTTATTATATCAACTCAGTAAAAACATCATTATTACATTTATCATTAAATTTTAGCTTATACATATCTTAATTACTTTTTACATTCAATCTTCATAAACAATCCAAATCCTGTTATTAGTTTTTCCCCAATTTTTAGTTTCCCATCAATATTCCAATTTAACCTTTGATATTTATAATTTTCTGGCTTTAGGTAACCAAGATTTCCCTTGTCTCAATTCATAACAGAATCTAATATCTAAATACACATTTTATCTATTTGAATTAATCTTGTTCTATTTCCTAAAAGTTATCTATTCCCCACCATATTAAATCATTTACTTAATAATACAATATCCCCTTTAATAAATCAAGACCATTATATATATTGCCTGGGTTAATCAATACATCAAACATATTCATAATATTTTTTTCTTTTAGGTCTAATTTTTAAATATTAAACAGATAAAATGTTTAATGAAATGTTAAGAAATGAAGGGCACAGCTTATTGTCTTATTTGTCTTCCGGTGAAGACATGGCCGGCAACTGACATGCCCTGAGATGTTAAATGTTTTTTGAATTGTTTAAACTTAGTGTGCAACTGCAGATGCAGCCAAATTAAATTAATTTTAGAATAAATAAAGCCTGCCCAACTCATTAAGTCCACAATATATTTGCTGGAACATTTACATAATCATTTCTACTGTCAAAGAACCAAATATTCTTTTCCAAGAGAATATGGTTTTGTGAACCTTTTATGTTTTTTGGTATCAAAGTTGCCTTCAAATGTAATTCCCTCTGGAACTCAATGCACTCATAAGAAAGCTAGAGCTTGATCTGAATATTTAACATGCCTTACTGCAGCCAAATCAACCTGAACGAGATGAAAAACAATTTCTATCAAAACAGACACCAGTTATACAGTATATAGTGATAATGCAAGGTTAAATTTACTTTTTTTTCCCCTTCAGCCTTCTTGTCACAAACGATTACCAGCACAGTATCTGCCCCTTTCTTAGGCTTATTTTTTATGGCTATCATCAGTCTTTTTCCTTCCCTATTCCCAGCCTTTCCTTTTCTCTCCTTGCTAAAGTCGACCCTGCCCTCTGGTGGCAAAACCCTTTTTATGATACTGAACTTTTTATGACCAAAGACGACCACGGCAGATGTCAATGAACAAACAAATTATGAGCCAGGTGGGAGAGACGTAAGTGCCTCTAAGTTACTTAGACCTAATTGTATATGATCTATGAGATTCCTGCTGATAATATGTGCTAAAACATGGGGTGACTAAATCTACAACCCTTAAGGAACGGAATTACTTCAAACGCTTGGCATACTTTTGACATATTACAACTCTGCTCATTAAATTTGTCTATGACAATATTACATTAGATAGTAAACTTTTCAACTTTATTAAAACACTTTTGGATGCCTTCTAGCAATTATAACTGTAGCATTCTTAAACCAAAAGAAACAATGACTCACATTTCCATTCTGTTTCCAAATTCACTTACAACTGTTGTCTATCTGTCTATCTATCAATCAAATTTATCCATTTAATCTTTAAAAGTCAACTTCCTGTCTAAGGGGAAAATATCTGTGTTTGAAACAGGTTCCTCATTTTTGCCTATGAGTCACAATCATGGAGCACAGGGCTACCTTGTTTTTTGCCAAGTCCTAAAATTCACTAGTAATAAAAGAAGTAATTTCTGCAGTTGCTTAGAAAAAGAATAGGCAAATGTGCATACAAAAGTAAGTTAACAAGTTTATCAGAATATATTATAGCCTACTATAACATTGTGAACCAGGTTCCTTAACTTCCATTTATAGAGATTTTCCTGCTGTTGCTAAACAGAGTACAATTACATAAGGGTGTTTGTCCAGCTATCCAAGGCAAAAAAAAATTTTCAATAATCCTGCCACAGCCACACATCCATTCAGAAATGTGACTGGAACGACTATTATCCAGAGATTTGGATAGACCTTTGCCATCATATTTCCTTACTACTGTACAATATTTCATCAGTGTTATTCAACAATGCAATGATACAGTCCTTTGAAGGTACAAACTGCAATTTAAGTTGCAAGATCTTGGGAATACACTGTATATGGGAAACAAACTACAATGAAGATACAACACAGAACATCAAGGCTATAAATACTGATTATATGTATGATATTTAAATTTAAAATAAGGTTTATTGCAAGGAATAAACTTTGTCAGATTCAGAATATCAAGCTGACGATTAAAAAAAACAAAACATTAATTCGTAATAAATCTCATCTACAGAGGTCACAAAACAGATAGAAAAGTGGTATCACAAAGACCAAAACAGAGATAAGAGTTGGGGACAAGTGAAACAGCAGCAACACAGAGTTGCATAACAACAAAGCATCCACCTGTACATCAAAACTAAACCTCAGAAAATAATAAAAATTATTATATACAGAAAGTCTGTGAAAATGAAAAGAATAAGAGAAAGAGAAAAATCTTCTATAACATAACAGCAATATCTATGTCCAGCCTAGAGGTTCTTTATCTTCTAAAGTAATACATACTTTTTTGTTGTTTGTGCTTTTTAACCAGCAGGTTGAAGACCAGCAGTGGGTAGCTTCAGTAAGTGAAACTTCCCTCGATATAACTCTTAAAGATCTTTTCAATGGCACAAATATAGGCAGCTGTTCTCTGGTCCAAGCCTAGATTATACTTTGTCGCTACACTCATGATTTGCTAGAAAATAACATATAAACATAAGCAATGTGGTCTTAGTATTCTGGTCTGAAACCAAAACCTAAAAAATAATTATTGAATAAAAATGGTACCACTGCAATAACGACAACTATTTCAGTAACGCAGGATTGGATATTACAGACATACAAGAATAAAGTAAAAAGTCTACCATATGAAAAACAAAATGATCTTTTTAAAGACAGATATAGAGAAATGCAACCCAGAAACACCTACCCTGGCTGAACGTTCCATGGTGAAAGCTAGTCCAGAGTGAACAATATCCTTCTCTGAGGCACCCTTTAAAAAAATACAAGCTTAAGAAAAATACTGTATATCATTCTATTTTCCTGTCAATACTTAGATGTGATTATTTCTCACTTATTTTTGCAATATAATGGACTGAATAGATTTGGAATTATGAGTCGTAAAATACATAGAGTATACTATTACCAACCTAACTTATCTCAGGTCATTGATGTGAGAACAAAATCAGTCCATGGATGCTGGCTTACAACCTGAGACATAACAGAAACCTCTTTTTTTATTGCATTGGCAGGCTGTTTCAGAGCCCTTCTTCTAGATCAGCGGTCTCCAATCTTTTGGGCACCAGGGACAAGTTCTGTGGAGAAAAGTTTTTCCGTGGACTGGAGGGTGTGTGGTTTTGCGGGCTGCCTGCATCCTATGGATGGGGTTCGCTTGTTCGTGCAACCCTGTTGCTGGCATGCCGTGGACTGATGCCAGTCCATGGACCTGGGGTTGGGGACCTCTGTTCTAGATAATGCTATTTGGGCAAGGGCCACTCAGTTGAATTACCTGTGGTAACTAGGACTTCTTTTATGCCTGTTATCCAAGAAAGTGGATAAGGGGCTTTCTAGGATGTCATCCACCTGCAAGTTGGATTCTTGCCTCTTCTGGCTTCTTTGGTTAACTGTGACGGGGTGGGGTAGGGAGTGAGTTTGTATCCTGGATCCAGGAGATGGTGAATGGTTCCTTGTGTGAAGATTCAATGCCCTCATCACTGGAAAGAGATGTTGGTTCCTTCCATTCTTGGATCTATAGGTTTTAGACAGCCACCATCCGGTCTCTAACATTTTCTTTTGGATGAAAGTTGTGTCTTCATGAGAAATACAGTGCCCTGGGCATCCTTCTCTAAGAGAATGCTCCAAAAGGGAAGGGAAGGGGAGCAAAGGGGAGTTAAATACATAACTTACTGCTATTCTAGCTTGGAATTCTGATGTGGGTATAATAGGTATACTTCCCCTGCTTTTCCCAAATTTTCTCTCCAGACTTTGTTGCACTGACATCAGCAGATGGTAGTTAGAATCACGCTCATACTTGAAAGTAAGACGCCCATAGCTGACATGGTTGAGATTCTTCAGCCATTCAAAAAAGGAAACTGTCACACCACCTGCATTTATGTATAAATCCTGCCACAAACAAACAAATAGTTTTAGTTATTTGATGAATTCTCTGCAAGAGAACTGTGAGAATATGTTACAAATTCATAAATCCATGTAGAAAAGCAACACAAAAATTTAAAAATAACAAATTCATATTGTTGCTTGAATTCTACTTCCTGACAATAAAAATGAACTCAGGTACCTATATTATGACACATCATTATCTTGCAATGCGGAAGATAGAGTAGCCAACTTTAGTACATCACAGAAATTTATTTCCTGTGCTGTGGATGAGTGATAATGTAGACTTCAGAAGCCTAGCAATTTGCCCCTTCCCTTCTTATATCAGCAACAAAGTTTTAAGGTACTGAACAATTTGAGGTTACCATAATATTAGGAAGTCAGCCATTCAGAGCCTCTAAGTAAGTAAACAAATATATTACATTATCACTAGACTCCTGGTCTTTAAGGATAAGGGAGAAGAAACTATAAATTAGGGAGCAAAGGAAGCAGTGGTAATATCATAAACTATTAAGAATCATAGTTGCAGAAAAAGAAGTAATGCCAAATGTTAGTTAAGTGGCCAGAAACCAGTTACAGACTTCTCATTTTATTCATACTTGTATCATATGGTAGGTTTCAAGTTCTGTAAACTTCTGAATATTCACTGGTCCCTAGAACAGAAATTACTTCCTGGATTGACTAACTGAAAATATTTTAGGTCAAATGAATTATGGAAAGCCCCTAAAACAGGTAGTTTAGTACTGTCTGGTTAAATACAGCATGACGGCATTTTCAGCAACATATTTTAGAACAATACAATGAATACAGCTTGCCCACAGCATAGCAAGGGGATTGTACTATTCTATCTCCACCATCAATTTAAATAGATCCATTTGATCCCTTGTTTTGCCTTATTAAACAAACATTGTACACTGAGCCAAAGTTTTCAGCGAACTCTTTCTTAGGGTCCTAAGAACGCTTTCTTGTTTAGTCATCACACCTTCACAAAATACATCGATGTAAATGTGCTTCTTAGTCACCTCTACTATTTTCCCATCTGTTCACAGTTTGAAGAATAATTTCTTTGAGATTTCTCTGCCCTAAATAATTTGTATTGTCTTTGAATATGGACATTTATGATGTCCACCTCAACTCCAGAATCTTTTAAACACAGAACTTGGGACCTCAAATGTAGCACCAGTGTCTTTCTTCTCATTTGGAAGTGCCCTACTTGAACAACTGAATTATTATGGGGGGGGGAGGAAGTTTCCTGCAAAGCAAAGCACAATTCCCCATTTAATTTTCACACCTAAGAGGAAGACTCCATAAGCTTACTTAAAAAATAAAAATGATGCATTGTAATCCAATACTGTATTTTAAAGTATACACTCAGAAAAAAGTAAAAATGAACAGAGATCATATAGAAAATCATAAAAGAGTAGAGAAGTCCCCAGCAAACATTTTTTTAAGAATGCTCTTAGCATGTTCTCAAATTTTCATATATACCCTCACCTAAAAAATGTTGCTGGTCCTTGATGCATGCCTACTTCTGATTCATATCCTTCAGAGACTTCACTATTTACCTTACTGCACGGTAAGGATACTTACTCCTGTATTCAGCTATGGTGAAATTCAGTAATGAATCTAAGATAACCTTGTCATTAGCAAATTACTGTGCAGTCCCAGTGAAAGGTTTGATAAAACTTTTTTGAAGTTCATATAACATCTAACTTTTAACATATTTTTTTTCTCTAAAAATCTGAGAAATGCTGTTATTACTAATCCAGTCTATGTTAGGAGAAGTGGATAAAACTTCTATCAAAGGTTAATTCAGAAATTGATTTATTTAGAGAAAGTATTCAGAACTACAGTAATAAAAGGAGCAGCAAAGTGTATTACCTCAGTCCTGACACTAGAGGATTTAAATATTCTTTATTTCAGTCCAATGGACTACAAATATTTATATCCCACAGGACAAGGTTATGACTGTCCAGACATGGACATGGTTTTAATTTTGCAGTACATATTCAGGCTAATTTATATAAAAATACAACAGAAAAATAAATGTAATAAAATAAAGCCATCAATCTATTTCTTAACCTCATTTTGCTGCCAAATTCAAAATTAGGAATTACTATACAAGCAGAGGTAACATTCAAAAATCCATACAAAAATATGCAAGTTGCCTTGTATTCAATTTTTGTTACATTGATCTGGGTATTTTCAATGTATTGCAAAATTCAGTCATGTTTAACTACATTTCAAAAGGATTGTCCAGTTTTCCAAGGTCCCACAAGGTGGAGAATGCCCAATAGCAGCATATATGCTAAAGGCCCAAATAGCAGAGCATGGGCATTACTGGAGCCAACAGATCTGCAGACATACCGGAAGTACAAGGATTTTTCTCTGCAAAAAGATGTCATGAGCATCTGGAGTTGTGGGGCCATTAGCACCTTCAGCAATAATCTATGAGGCACAGAAACAATAAAAGAATAAATCAGAATTATCACAGCTAAAACACAAACTCAAGTTAATTATATGTGATATGAAGTAGTTCTTTGTCTTATCTAAATCTCCTGCCAATTAGTTGGGTTGGTTGATTCTACTTTATAATGTTTTGAGATGAGAAAAATGTCTCCCAGTCTATTTTTTCTAGGTCATGGGTGATTTTACACACTTTGTTATCTTTCTTTGTTTGCTTTTTTTTTTAAAGTTAAAATGTCTGTAACATTAAAGGAGAATATTTGTAGTTCAGGGTTAAAAGGAGGGATCCCTCATATCTGTAACATTTTAATTTTCTCTCATCATGCAACTCATAACTATGATAATAGTAATAGTAGTAAAGTTGGAAGGGACCTTGGAGGTCATCTAGTCCAACCCCCTGCTCGGGCAGGAAACCCTACGCTATTTCGGACAAATGGCTGTCCAGTCTCTTCTTAAAAACTTCCAGTGTTGGAGCATTTACTGCTTCTGGAGGCAAGCTGTTCCACTGATTAATTGTTCTCACTGTCAGGAAGTTTCTCCTTAGTTCTAGGTTGCTTCTCTCCTTGATTAGTTTCCACCCGTTGCTTCTTGTCCTGCCTTCAGGTGCTTTGGAAAATAGCTTAATTCCCTCTTCTTTATGGCAGCCCCTGAGATATTGGAATACTGCTATCATGTCCCCCCTTGTCCTTAGTTACCTCATGCATTTTTACAAGAGTTACACAATCCTCAATTTATGACCAACCACTTAGCGACCGTTCAAGTTATAACAGAAGTATTTATGATCTGGTTTTGAAATTACTATCACTGCAGCATCCCTGCAATCATTCGCCTTTACAGTTAACTGCAGGGACGCTGCAGCACCCCACCCCGCCTATCTCCCCCTCATTCCTCCCCAACCTTAACTCCACAGGCCTTGGGCCTACTTCCCATCCCACCAGGCACATACCTTCTTCCCCCACCCATGCACTCATCTTTGGAAGATATCTAGAGTAACAGATATCCCTTGTGATAGGGAAGGAGGGTAAGTCGCCCCACTTCTCAGTGTCCCCGGCCACATGGCTCCATCCTGGAAGTGGGTGCCAGCAGCTGCAATGAAACAGCAACTGAATCATTCATGCCAGTGGCTTTCCTCCCACTGGTGGCTTTTCCTACTTAATTCAGTCTTTGCCCATCCCCCATTGCCAGGGATGGGTTTAGCCTCCCACCCCCACCCCACTCGGAACACTGATCCTACCAGTCTGCAGTTGCCAGAGATTTGGGCCTACTGTCCAAGGGACTATCAATTAAGAGAAAGAAAAAGAAAAAAATCCACTGGAGTCCACATGCTGATGGGGAAGGGCTTTAAAGGAGAGTAGGAGGTCACACATGTACACATGCATGCAAATACACATACACGTCTTAAACATTGCGAGGAGAATTCCAAGCTTCTTTCTTGCAGTGTTTGAGATGCCTCTGTGTGTTGGTGCATTCTCAAAAGAAGTCTCCCTCCTCTCTTTAAAATACTGGGCTTTAAAGAAGGTGAGTGTCAGGTGCAGGAAATCGGGAGTCAGGATAGAGATCAAAAGCACTAAGATTTTATTCCATGCAACCTACACACAAGAATCTGATCTAGAGTAGATGGTCAGAGACTGAGTTTGAGTCCTGCCTTAGCTATGAATGCCAGCTGGATAACCTTGGGTGGGATACAAATAAATAAATTAAATTAAATATGAATACATCTCAAACATTGTGAGAAGAGAGGAAGAGAACTTGAAGTCATCTTCTTCCTTCTTGCAATGTTTGAGATGTTTGTGGTTATAAGTCAAAGGCTACTTATATATCCTTTTTAAAATGTGACAACCAAAGAATACATAGTGCTTTATATGCAGACAGCAAATATTTCCATGAGAGCAATTAAATGTCTTTAGTTTTATCTTTAGACACTTTCTTACTGATCCATAACTGGGAACTTACTATTTTCCATAGGCACTGTATATTGAATTGTCTTCTTTACTGAGTTCAATACAGGTAATCCTCGATTTACAACAATTCATTTAATGATCACTCAGTTACAACGGCATTGAAAAAAGTGACTTATGACCGTTTGTCACATGACCACTGTAGCATTCCCATGGTCACATAATCAAAATTCAGACACTTGGCTACTGACTTATATTTATGACAGTTGCAGTGTCCTGGGGTCACACAATCAATCACCTTTTGTGACCTTCTGACAAGCAAAGTCAATGGGGAAGCCAGATTCACTTAACATTGTTACTAATTTAATAACTGCAGTGATTCGCTTAAGAACTGTGGCAAGAAAGTTTGTAAAATGGGGCAAAACTCACTTAACAAATGTTTCACTTAGCAACAGAAACTTTGGGCTCAATTGTGGTCATAGGTTGAGGACTACCTAGTACATTTTTTTACCATCCAACAAACCAGGCCTCAGATTTTTTTTTTTTTCCTTACTGGAAACAAGACATGAGGCAAAAACAACTGTCTCTAAACAATACCTTTGCTTGGACACGATGAGCGTTTGCCTTTGTAAGCTGTTTCTCAATAGCAGCTGGAATAAGGATATCACAAGGTACCTCAAGGGCACTGCCCTCAAGTTTCTTAGCCTTTGGAAAACCAACAATGGTGCCATGTTCCTGGAATAAAAATTTCAGTTAGCCAGTCCAAGAAAGAAAAGACAGGGAAATATATTTTTCTACACTATTTAGTAGTCCAGCTGTGCCTGGAACAGGCTAGGGCTTATCTGCTTTGGATTATTTTTAGAGAAAAAAACGCACTGGCATCCCCATGTACAAGTAGTCTTCCAGTTACGACCAAAAGTGAGCCCAAAATTTATGTTGCTAAATGAAACATTTGTTAAGTGAGTTTGCCCCATTTTACGACTTCCCTTGTCATAATTGTCATGTGAATCATTGCATTAGTTAATGACATGATTAAGTGAATCTGGATTTCCCATTGACTTTGCTTGTCAGAAGGTTGCAAAAGCTGATCACATGACTTCAGGACACTGCAACCGTCATAAATATGAACCAGTTGTCAAGCATCTGAATTTTGATCACATGACCATAGGGATGCTGCAACGGTTGTAAGTGTGGAAAACAGTCATAAGTCACTTTTTTCAATGCTGTTGTAATGTTGAACAGTCACTAAATGAACTGTTTTACGTTGAGGACTTCAACATACTTGCTTGTAGTGTTGTAGTTCATTGGAATCAATTCCATTGGTGTTATAGATGGCACCATCTACTTCTTCAACGCATATACAGCATGCTCCATGTCGCTGCAGGTATCGCATTGAATGAAAACCCACACTGCCAAATCCCTGTGAAGGCAAAATTGAAAAACATGGAGCAAATTTTTAGTCAGCAAAACACACATATAGCATCTTGACTAATAAGGAAGATCTGCTTCTGTTGTGAATGTTCCCTTGACAGCTGGCAGAACTCAGACATCCCCAATATATATCCTCTCTGACATATTGTAAACATCTCCAATCTATATCTTAGAATAGAATAGAGCTGGAAGGGACCTTGTAGGTCTTCTAGTCCAGCCCCCTGCTCAAGCAGGAGAACCTATACCATCTCAGACAAGTGACTGTCCAGTCTCTTCTTAAAAACCTCCAGTGATGGAGCACCCAGATTTCTGAAGGTAAGCTGTTCCACTGGTTAATTGTCCTCACTTTTAGGAACTTTCTCCTTAATTTCAGGTTGCTTTTCTCTTTGATCAGTTTCCAGCCATTGTTTTTTGTCTCGCTCTCTGATGCTTTGGAGAATAGTTTGAATAGCCTCTTCTTTGTGGCAGTCTCTCAAATACTGGAATACTGGTATCATGTCACTCCTATTTCTTCTTTTCTTTAGACTAGCCAAACCCAAGTCCTGTAGCTGTTTTTCAAAGATGCCCGCTATTCCCATTTTCTGATAGCCAGTGGGATTTACTCATCTCTCCTCAGATCAGTCTTAAGTTGAAATCTGAAAGCAGGATTTTCTAAGTAATGCAATTGGTCTAAAGGTAATATCTATTCCAAAGCTGATATATTCTCTAGAGAAATTAGTTTTTTTTTCTTATTGTACTAGATTTAATTTCTTTTTAAATCTCTTTATGGTTTTTGCTTTTGTTGTCCGTTTAACTCCTTTACGGTATTTTCCTATGGGAGATACTTCTAAGCTACTCTCTGTAATTTCATATTTTGTTTTAATTCACTCATCACTAAATGTTTTCCATATAAATACTTAAAATTAACAATGAATATTTAGCTTTCCTCTTAAAAATAAACATTAATATTTATTTACCTCTTGTGAGACTGATCTATTTCCAAAAGAAGGAGGGCTCATTTCCCTAATCATATATTTAATGCTACAGTTTTGGAGGTGACTCTCCCAAACTTATTTCATTTATCCAGGCAGAATTAGTCAAGCTGAAGAATAATTACATTTTTAACAAAAATCAGCAAATTAAGAATGTGCTTTTCCTCCCCTCCCGATTTCTAGCCTAATGCCTTAATTATTATACCAACCTGGCTCTTCTTGCATATATGTGTGCTTTTAAGTCAGCATTGACTCTTGATGACTGCCTAGACAAATCCCTGCAGTTTTCTTGGCAAGATTTCAGGAAAAACCCCTGCTTGTCAGGCATTTAAGAATTGATTGCCCTATCTAGATAAATGCATTAGACATTTATCCAGGCAGAATTAGTCAAGTTGAAGGATAATTATATTTTTAACAATCATGACAGGTTTAAAAATATACTTTATTTTTTCATTTTATTTTGCAATATGTTTCTATTATTCTATTTAGCTTTCATTAAAAATGTTTCTTTACTGAAACTGGATATTACAAGTTCTGTGGTTCTCCAAAAGTAATAGAACTCAGCAACTATCAAACCTAGTTAATTGTGCCATCATGGCAGAGGGTACTTTCTCTTTGATCTTTTTCCTTTATGTTTCTTTCTTTCATATTAATCTAGTTTGGGAGATACCAAGTGTGTAAAATGGGAGGAGAATAGAAAACCATTTCAGAAAAGATAAGAGTTTTAAAATGTGATTCATCTTCTGTAGTGCCCTGATTGGTAGATGTCTTTCCTGCTTACTTGTGATATATTAAAGATGGACAGTGGCATAGCCAGAGGGGAAAACTAACAATCCTGTCTATAAACTAGAAGCACGTTCAGAAATCAGGAAAAACTTTTCAACAGACTTAATAGGAGGACAGGACTGGAAATAGGGTGCAGTTATTTTTTTACTGCATTATTCTGTGCTGACTGAAAGATAGTTGGATGTTCTTTAATTCAGTAGTGCAGAGGTCCCCAACCTTTTGGGCACCAGGGACCGGTTACGTGGACAGAGGTTTTTCCATGGACCGGAAAGGGTGTGGTTTTGTATGCTGCCTGCATCCTGTGGATGGGGCTTTCCTTCTATGTGCGGACCGGTTGCTGGCATGCTGCGACCCGGTACCGGTCCATGGCCCGGGAGTTGGGGACCCCTGCAGTAGTGGAGAGAAACCCTGAAAAACAAAAGCAAAGCCAACAGGCATAAGCAAAGTTTGTTCACTCTTCAGAATTCTTGGAATAGCAAACCACAAAAGTGGAATAAAAATCTATTCGATAAGCAATAAATAAAATACATAAACTGTTGTTTCTTTGTAGGACTGCAGCATGTAGGACTTGTGTGGGAGGGCTTCTACTAGTTAAAGAAAATCTTTAACTATAAGTGCTGAATTGATTATTTAAAGAAAAAACAAAGTTAAAAATCTGGTTTTGTTTTTTTCATTATCATAAAACTAGGCCCTGTTGTCTTTCCCTCCCTATTTTATCTGTACAGGAAGGATGTATGCTTAGATCAGTTGGGATATTTAGCTTCTTAATGAACTTTGCATTCATTAAAACATCCATTGTTCAATGAACTTTAAAAAATCCATAGAAAACAGCAAAATACAAGGATAACACTCACTATAGAACTTTCCAATAAGATATCAACGACTAAATCACATTATATGAGCAATTCCAATTTAGATTTAACCATGAAGAATGGAAAAAGAAAATTCAGGTGGGAAATAACTCACAGTAACTCAACTCTTCCACTTTTGCCAACTGCTTATATACTAACTCTTTGTGCCCCTCCTTGATTTCTTTGACAATTGGAGAAGAATAACAATCCACAAAGACTCCCAAAGAATTTGAGGGCTTTCCCTCCAAATTTAGTTTTCTTGATAAGTTAATTATGCTAAGTGAAGCATTTCTTGAGGGATTGCTCAGCAAGCTCAATACAATAGAGGTGACTTAGAGAAAGTTACTTATACAAACTCAGCTTTGCTCTGCTTGCCAAGTTTTTCAACCTAAGGCAAAAATTGCTTTGGGAGACTTTTTTTTTTTCTTTCCTAAGAGAGATTGGCAAATTGCCAGTTTAGAAGAAATATATCAACTCTCTCTGAAAGAGAACTGGTACTCAAAAAGGTACAACCCAAGTAAAACATTGGTTCTATTAAACACATTTGAAGGATATGCTATTTATTGTGTTCTAATATAAACAAACACTTATTTAGTACCTCAAGGTCACAGAGCCTTAATTAAAAAGCTGGCCTACTATTGAGAAAATGCCAGTTAAAAACAAAAGCCATTATGAAACTTATGGAATATATTTTGATCAGCTACTCACCTTTCAGCCTAACCTACTTTATAAGACCACACCCACAGTCAGCATGAAGCAGGATGGAAGGCAGGAAAAAATTTAAGCTCTTTGGCGAATAGACAGGAAGGTACTGTAAAAATCTTATTATATATTTTCGTAGATCATGGCCTTCTTTTTCAGGGATATAGCATGTTCACCAAATCAAACAGACATTCTGAATACTCACACACACCCTTCTTTTTCTTAAACAAGTGAGGCCCAAAGTTCAAGTAATATAAAAGGAAGCAACAGACATATGATGCCACTATTCATAATGCTAACACATCCCAAATCCAAACTAATTAATCCAATCAATGTGGGCTGATTGTTCTCTAGCCATCAATGATTTAAAAAGTATAACCAAAGTAATGTAAAAATGTACATGCATTTTGCTTATTCTGTACAATGTAACTATCCTGATGGAATATCGCATAGGCTTTCTGAATGTCCTTTATGAGACCCCTAGTTGCTGGTCAGTAGCTGCATCATATTAGGAGTGAAATATAGTAAGCAACACAGCAGAAAAGAAAATTATCTTTTCAGGATGGGTTCTACTCTCTGAGGCTTTAGCTGATATGATTATAAAAGGCACCACTGTTTTTTTCTTCTTCCATAGTGAGCAATTCTGGATACCATTCAGACCTTTTGATTTGGTCCTACATTTCTAGATTAGCACTATAGTTTAAAGATTGTCTAATTTTATGCTCTATAACAAAAAGATTGGAATTAATATATTAAAGTTACCAACAAATTCAGCTAGTTTATAGTTTAACCATAATGTTATACAGGGCTTTTTTCTCATAGAACACCCCGAACTGAGTTCCGGCACCTTTTTGGGATGGAACCTTGTAGGGTAGGCAAGGCGGGTTGTATGACGTATGTGAGTTCCGGCACCTTTATTGTTTAGAAAAAAGCACTGATGTTATATAGTTGTATTATAAGAAAGGCATGGGAAGAATGCTGATCATGGCTTTTGGAAGTCCTTCAACTTCTTTACTAGTTATGGCTATTTGAGATGTCCATATCTTTTTCTCTGTAATGCAGTAAAGTTGGGGGGGGGGGACAGAAACACACAAGGCTTCCCCCCCCCCAAGGATAAACAGAAATGATTGTGCACACATGCTGCCTGTGCATGTATGTTTTTCTGCTTTCCCCTCATGGTGAGTAAATGTGCATTGAGAAATATGAAGTAGTGTAGTCTACATAAGCTCTACTCTGAGTTACAAAACTGATCTGAAAAAGAAGGGATTTAAAATGGAAACAAGATTCCAAGCACCAACTGTTTTCCATTGGAAAATGGTGGAAGAATTTTTTCTATTTTTATTTTTTTGCAGTTTCTACACAGATCTTAGCTATTTTCTATTTAATCTTTCTTTTGCTAACTTCTCCCATCATGCCAAATTTGATCTCCTTCTGTTGAAATCTTTTTACATACCAGTGGATTGGAAAGAATAAAAAGGACCCGTTCCATGGTAGAGCTTCTGGCTTAGATTGTGCTGTGAAATCTGAGAAGCCTTGATGACATTTTAAAAGCCAAAACTTGTTAGCCTACAGAATAATACTAGTCTATCTCTACCTGAGATACACTATGATAGGAGTTGCGCAAATTGCCAGAAATTTGTTCTAGCCAATTATATGGCCATATGGAAGCTTATAGCAGCTTAAAGCAGATGGTAACAATTTACTTCAACAGAAATTCAATAGAGGTGTGAATACATTCTATTCTGAATGATTCCATGAACAGGTATTTTTATAGTCTATGCTCAACTGAAATGTGTTTCAGATATTGTGATCTATATATAGAACAAAATGAAGCTACTCTGTGTAGACACTGTTCTGCTGGAAGGTAGACGACAAGCAGGCAAAACGTTACAGGCATCAGCACTGCTGTCTGAGGAAAAAGATAAAAAGCCAAAGTTGACATGCACTACCTCTCTCTCTTTCTCCCAGGGCAGCATATCTCACTAGCTTATCCCTAATCCCCCAGTGTTCTTGAAAATTTTCATAAATAACCTAGATGAGGGGATAGAATAGAAGTTCTCAGCAAATTGACAGATGACACAAAGCTAAAGAAAGCTCTAACATCTGAGATGACAGCTTCAAGGTTCAAAAGGCTAATATTAAACTAGAACTCTGGCCTCTATTTTTCAAAAATGTAGTTCAAGCACAAGAAATAAAGGGTTGTGCACTTAGGTAGAAAGAATCAGATGCACAGGTACAAAATAGCAGGAGTCTAGTAGCACTTTCTCCAATTAACAGATTTTATTAAAAGGTGTAAGCTTTTTTGAGCTGCAGATACAAATAACCTATCTTCCCCATCCCCTCCATCATCTTTCACCTCATCCTACATTAGTCTACCCATTCTATGCATGAAATCAGCTGCAACCCACAGCCTCTTAATAAAATTTGTTAGTTGGCAAAGTTCCTACCAAACTCCTTTTGGTTTTTTGCCATCACATACTAACAAGCCTTTCCTCTTATAAAGTACAACTGTAAGGATCCACCTCAGCTAACCACCCAAGAAAGTAGAACTCTTGAAACAGGCATTGTCTCAAAAGGAAACTTTTATTAGGGGTTAGTGACAGTAGGGAAGTCAAGGCAGGATCTGGAGAAAATCCCGCTTAAACAGTATAGTTAAATCAGCAATATTCCTCCTCCCACCAGAGTCATAATGTCCATTTGAAATTCAGCCAATCCACAGGGGGCAACGATGTTTGGGTAACTGGCACAGTCGGCGCATCTCAAGGTCTTCTCCAGTATCGTTTCTCTGTAACCGTCTCCCTGATAAGGGAGACACATTGCTTTCTCAAGTAGATAGAGGCGGGAGAGGAAAAGTAGAAAGCGAAAATTATCCCAAGCGAAAGTAAGTATTCCCTCTCCCTCCAGTAGAATGGCAGGCCCCAAAACAAGAGCACAAGAGTATATATGCAAGGAAGACAATAAGGATTTGGGGACCTGATAACAACATAAATGGGATATGACTCAATCATGAGGCAGAGTATAGATTTAATATGAGCCAGCAGTGTGCTGCAGTTGAGATCAGAAAATAATTGAGTATTTCTAGTTTATCTTTGAAAGATCAGACTGAACTTGAAATATTGACAATACAGTACAAGAAAAATGTTGAAGAAAGAATTCAGAGAACAGTGGCTAAGATGATGAAGGGATTGGCTTACAACAGCAGTCCTGGCAGTCGCAGTAGCTATCTTTATGTGGCAGCATCCTGGAATTACATGATTGATATTTGAGACCTCTGCCAGCTTTCCTGTTGACTTTGCTTGTCAGACGCTGGCAGTGAAGATTGCAAATTGCAATTACTTGACTATTGGATGTTGCAACATTGGAATTGCAAGCCAGTTACCAAGTACCCAAATTGCAATCACATGACTGCAGAGATGCTGTGATGGTTGTAATTATAAAAACCTGTTGTATCTCTCATTCAGTGCCATCATAAAATTCAATCACTGAATAAGTATGAATACTACTTGTACAGTAGATTCAATCAGTCTGCCTAATCTTAGATCTTCTCAGTGCCTTCCATCCCTCACTCTTGTTTGTTAATGTCCCAAACCTTTGGCACATCCCTCCAACACTCCCCACTTTCAAGTATCCTAGGTCCTTCCTCCCTCCCTCACTTCCCTCCCTCTCACCACAGCAGATCATTTTGTCTCAGTCTCGCTGTTAAGTAGGTAGGTAGGTAGGTAGATAGATAGATAGATAGATAGATAGATAGATAGATAGATAGATAGATAGATAGATAGATAGACAGACAGACAGATCCTTGTGCCAGTCATTTTCTCTCTTAGCCCTAGCTTCTATCCAGCAACCTGCACCTGATAAGCATGATAAATATTAGTCCACAACTTTCTTTTTTTTTATTAAAAAAGTTTTTATTTTCCATTTATTCATACAAAATACAATTAACCATTGGTACCGCCTGCCCATTCCCCCCAGGCTGCGTCCACCCTCTCTAAACCTTCCCTACTTCCCTCCTCTTTCTCTCCTCCCCTCCTACTCTCTTCCCCTCCCCATCTCCTCTAACCATCCTACTTCCTCCCTACTCCTTCCTCCCCTCTCATCCCTCTCACACACATGAATGCAGCATAGGGGAAATGCCCAAGCATTTGCCATGACTATATTATCACTACCCACCCACTCACCCACCCACCCACCCTCAACCCTCCCCCCCTCACTTCCCAGAGCAGAGTACAGGGTTATTAATAAGAAGGTTAACAATAATTTAAAAAAAGGAAAAAAAAGAAAGAAAAAAGAAAAAAAACGAAAAAAACCATCATACTTAACCTTTAACTCCCCTTAAATTAAGACATATAAACAAATCTCTACAACAGTTACTATAAAATTTACTCATAAAATAAATGAAACTTTATAGTCCCATATTTTTTCTGAATATAATCTATAGATTATAGATGGATAGTCCACAACTTTCAATGAAGACATTGTCAGTGGATAAATTTAGGATAGTAACACTATGTCTGTGTGCATGCACATGCATGCTTTTGTATGCACATATAATGAATCTCATCAAAAATGCTTGTGATCGTAATAAATAATCTATATGGTACTGTACATAATATGTAGCTATACATAAACAAATTATCTGGAGCGAGGTAAAATATCAAAATCCAATTTTTTACAAATATCCCAGTTCAATTTGTCCAATTTGCCTATGTTACCACTTTTGAAATGCAGCCCCAATTTGTAAGGATGGACTTGTTAACAGTAACCTGTAAGAATGAGATTATATCTATCCCACAGCACTTAAATACTATATTTACCTGCAAAACAAATGTTTTCCCAGCGAAACCAGTTTTGAGGCCAATAAGATCCATATATGTTGCATTGTTGATGTAGTTTTCAATTCCATATAGAATTCCACGGCCTGTGGCTGACATGCGCCCATGGATTCCTCCCTGACTTATGGGTTTCCCAGTTACACAGGCATATGAGTTGATATCCTGCAATTATCAATATGAAACAATATATAACTATACGAACTAAATATTTTCCCAAGGCCAGAAAGCTGAGAACTGTGTCCTCTCCTGAAATATGTGTAGTTACCACTTAAAAAGAAAACAAACTTGAAAAAAACATAATACAGCTTCCCTTTAAATCAAATCTTCAGAGAAGAAAGCAAGCTGTCAGGTTATTTAGAAAGCAGGCACAACAAGCTTTTTGTCTAAAGAATTAAATTTACCTTGTGTCCAAGTGTACAGGCATATGTATCAGCAATCCAGGACATCTCCCTTTCTCCTGTGTTTATATCAGGGGCAGCTACATCAATTCCAGGGCCTGCTCATATTAAAAACATTAGAACAGTCAATTTTTGACTGGTCTCTTCTACCACAAATCACAAATGTTGCCAGAATATATCAATCAATTAATAATGCATATGTGTGTGTGTGTGTACAAACACATGTATAAAACTGAACATTTGTTTAATTTAGACATTTTCTATGCAACCCTATGTATGTTTATTTAACACTATAGTATTGTGTTTAGTAAATAATGGATGCAGCTTTATTCTTTTTAATAAAGGTTGGAAAATGAGAACTGAACATATGAAATGGACTAACAAATTTTGTATAAAATAGTCTAAATTTATTATCTGCATAAATCTAAAGAAATGAACGTGTCAGAAGTCCCATTCAGTTCAAATGAATATATTTCTAGGCAAAAGACTATAGGATTGCATACGTGCTCTTCTTAACTGAGAAGAATTAGAGATAAATAGAATACTTAAAAGTCCATCCTTCGCTCACTAAAATCTTATTAAGTCACATTTCTACTTTGTTCAGTAAATATTTCAAACAGTGCTGAAATTTATATGTTTAGTTATTTAAGCAATGCAGTACTGCAATAAATCAGAACTAGTAGGCACAGATCTTGATCCCAAAACCTAAGACCTAGAAATGCCGTAGTAGCAAAACTTTTTATTAAAAAATAATCACTCTAGATATGTTCATCACTGTGATAATCATTATGGAACCACCAGAATAGAAAGGAGAAAAAAAATAGTAAGTAGGAAAAAAAAGGTTGAATGGCTGGAAAAATAGACCCCTTTAAAAACAAGATATGCATATATTTTCATGTTAACCTCTGCAAATGTTTAAGGATAAGATGATCAACAAAACTGAGCGATAAAGCCACTAGATTAAGGGAAGGAGCTGAGGGAATTTTAGTTTTTTCTTTTTACGGTCCTGTAATCCCTTTATTCGGGATGGAGTCAGGGCAACTGAGTGGAGTTGAGCATTTACTGGTCGGATGCCCTTCCTTATGACTAGGCAGAGTTCACAGCAGGTATTTTCTTTGCTCCCTGATAGAGAAACCTCTGCCACTGCTATGATTGAACTCTCAACTTTCGAGTGGGAGACGAGCATGTTCACTTCTAGGTTGCTCTTGAGAGCATCTTGGTTAAGGCTCTTTAAATTAGGCAACAATGCTGAAAAATACTGGATTTTCTTTAATAATGAAAAATGGATATTAACAAGGAGTAGAATTCTGCAAAATTTGATTCTTTTTCTATCCTTGTCAAAATTATGTGATGACAGTGCTAATTAAAGAATACAATTCTCAGATTTTAATGTCAATTCAAACCAATCTGGTTGCCAGATATCCATAAGAGATGGCAGGCATTATTCTAGCTCAGGCTTTTATAAGTATGTGAAACTCAGTCAGAGGGTGCTGGGTCCTGTCATTCAACATAATAAGAGGACAACAGATTGGAGGATGATCTCTTAACCTCTTATATTTGGGCAGCCTGTGAAACAATCACTTTTTTTACAAAAATGAACTCACCTATAAAACCTTTCTTGGCCAATTCCAATGTGAACTTTTTTGTTATTTGCTCCAGTTCATTTTCCTGTGTAAGAATATCAATATTCAGTTATTATTATAGGCTCTATCAGAGATGCCAAAAGGGTAATTGTAACAAAAACCTATGACATCTACATTACATTTTTTTCAGGAATAAACTGCACCCTGACAAGACAAAAATCTTTCAGCATCAGTACTTTGCCTTAACAGGTAATTCTTTTAAAATTCCTTTTACATACTGTAAAAGTATAAATCCAGCTCGAAGGATTCGAGGCGGATAAGGAGCACACTATTGTGTTGGTTTGCCTCTTTCCTTCAGGGTCCCTTCCAGTTGATATTGATTAGGAGAGGTTCCACTATTGGCCCCTACTATGTGGGGTGCCACAGGGTTTAGTATTTTCTCCAAGATGCTTATTCATTACCATGGAATGAGGTAATCATATATCTGTAACCCTGGAGATTTATGTGATGCCACAAATATCTTATCCCAGTGTCTGGAGGCCAAGAGGGTCTGGATGGGGAACAACAGGTTTCAGTTAAACCCTGCTAAGATTGAGTGGCTTTGGGTAGTGGGGCCCACTGGTTCCAAAACTTCACCATCTTTGGTGCTGGATAGGGTTGCACTAACCTCCCAACAGTCATCATCCTAGGTCACAGGTCGGCAACCTGCGGCTCCGGAGCCGCATGCGGCTCTTTGAGCCTTCCCCTGTGGCTCCCAGCCTCCTCTGCCTTTGCAGAGAGAGACAGAGACCATCAAACTCATATTCATGAAGCAGACTTTTAAGGACACAAAACTCAGTTAAGCTTTATTTGTTTAAGGTTGAAATAAAAAATTAGATATAACTGGTTTCCCTTTCTGGACTTTTACTAACAAAGAATGAATGACAAGGCTTTTGAATTTTGTTTTCTAGTTAAGAGATAAGTCATGGGGTGAAGATAAAATATATTGTATTAAAGAGTTGGTGATAAGCTATTGAAATTGTTTTTAATTGCTGGGATGAAGGCGTGACTTGCTTCTTTTTTTCCTTTTTTGTCTTTTTCTTTTCATAGCTCTATATTTTTGTAGTATTATAAGTTGTTATTCTTTCTACTAGTAATTCTTAATAAAGTTATCTAGTTTTTTTTTTTTTAAATGAGCATGTCATCATGTCCTGTTCTTTTCATTCCAGGGGAAGAACCTATACTTACTGAATAATTCCTTGGCTCAATAGTCACGCCAGCCTTTGACCCACCAAAAGGAACATCTGAAATACACCATTACCAATAAATTAGCATCTTATATTGTTATTCCTTATCCAGCCACAGAAATGTAACAGGAGAGCAACTTTTAAGAACTGTTGAGAGAGTATTGCCTTATAATTCAAAGTTTTCCTTTACTTGGAAAATAGCAAGTAAAAACAACATGTTAAAATACATTCATGATGAATATATCATAAAAAGCCTACCAAAGAATGACAGCTCTGTTGCTTAGAAAATATATGGGCTCTTTTGTAAATTAAGCAAAGGTATTTCTAAAACTAGGAGAAAAATCAGGAATAAGAGAAGAAGAAATCAGCATTGTATCTACTTTACAGTGAAAACCAAGAGCAAATGTCAATTGTAAAATCTACCAATTCTGTCACATCACAACATTGTTAAACTCTTTTGTCTCAATGGATACACATACAGTCTTGGTTTATACAAAGCCATAAGGTGAATGGCTTGATTTTGTTATATGTAATCCTGATCTTTAGTTTGTAAATCATAGTTTATGATATAGTGTTTTGTTTAAACATTTGGCTTATTCAAAAGACTTTTTTACACAAATACTTAATTTGAGATGTCAATTTAACTTTTCTCTAAAGTCAAACAAAGATTATATTCACAATAAAAGCTGATAAAAATGTATTTTGAACCCTAAGTGATGATCATCAAGAACACTATAACTTACAAGAAATCCAAGATAAACTAGGCTAAAGGTATCCAAAATGGTGAACGTTTAGAATGCAAACAACACAATAAATCAGAAACCTCAGATAAAATCCAGTGAGCAAGAATTAAAATACAGATTTACTGATTTTCTTGCTCAGTATACTATATCAATACAGTGAAGCAATACACGTGTTCTCTTTAAATTTCAAGCCTCTTGATTTAATTGGTATTTCATGACCCAACACTGGCTACCAAGATTCTTCCTAATGACGATGTAGCATGATCAATAGAAGCAATGCCCATTTCCTAACTTGCTTAAATACAGTGGTAACTCTGAAAACATACCATCCACATTTCAGAATTTATTTATTAAATAATTTTGGGGTTGGGGAGGGGGTATTGCATGGTGATAGAGAGTATGATTTGAATTAAGAACATTTTTGGTTCAACATCTGGCATTTTCAAATAAAAGTGGTATAGCACCATCCCTGTAGGGACCACTTGAGTCCATGCCTTCCCGACCTCCCCTCCAAGTGGCCACCAGCCCAAAGAGGTCTCTCATGTTGGTGCTGTCAATCCCCACGGGGCTTGCCATTCACCAGCGGGGGAGGGTGAACCGGAGCACGGACCGCAGCAGCCAGCCGCCGCCCTGACGCCGGCCGATCCCCAGAGCCGAGCCAGCCGCCGGAACGGGCCAGCTGGATGGTGGGAACAGCCCTCCCCCTCCTCCTCCAGTTCCACGCCGGACACCTACTGTCTCCAGGCTGGCCACAGAGCTTCGCCGGTGGCCGGGGGGGAAAGGCCCGACGTCATCCATAGCAGCTGAGTGTCAGGAGCCAGCCGGTCGCCGCCAAGCAATGCCGGAGGTGGGAGGAGGCTACAGCCATCAGTGCGGCAGTTGAGCATCGGGAAAAGCCGCCGCTCGCTGCCAAGAACCGCCGGAGGCCTCCAGTGGGTGAGAGGAGGCTGCTGACGTCTGGGCGAACCTACGGAAGCCCGGAGGGGACAGCCGAGTGCATGAACATAAGAAGCCTGATGAGCTGGCGGGAGGTTCTGGCCTGAGTGGCTGGACGGAGGGCCAGCAAGGCGTGGCTAGGCCAAGGGAAAGACAGAAGTGGATCTGGGGGAGTTGTGCCTAACAGGCCACGTAACACGGTGGTATTCAGTCACGATTGGTAGCTACGCACATGGGGCAGTGATGGTCACTCTATCTCGACAGTGACTCACTTGGGATGATGGTGGTTGATCTCAGGCAATAAGAACTTACAGGGAAGATGGTAGTCAATCTCTAATGACAACAACTTGCCCAGAACGATGTTAATCAGCCTCTGGTGACAGCAACTTGCCTAGAACGATGGCGGTCAGTCTCTGGTGACAGCAACTTGCCTACAACAATGGTAGCCAATCTCTGGTGGCAACAACTTGCCCAGAACAATGGCGGTTCATCTCTAGTGACAGCAACTTGCCTAAAAAATGGCAGCCAGTCTCTGGTGGCAAAAACTTGCCCAGGACGATGTTAATCCATCTTTGATGACAACAACTTGCCTAGAACGATGGCAACCAATCCCTGGCACTGGCAGAGGCCTCCCTTGTCCGTTCTTCTTGCCCCTATCTGATGTCACTCCATGTAATCCCTTTTTATCTCCCCCAGCTGATCCTATAAAGAAAAAAAATCCCTTACCTCCCACTAAAAGACATATATCAAACTCTTCCCTAACTCTCCCTCTGCCTAACTTACTCCAATGAGGGAAAGGAATTTAAACTCCCCAAACTACTCTCTCTCCCTCTGGCCTGCCCGCAACAAAAGAGAAAGAAACAATAAAACTTCACCTTTTCCCACCCCTCCCTCCCTCTCCCTCTCTCTCTCTCCTGCTTCCAGCAAACGGCTCCAGCAACTACTCTCACCCTCTATCCCTCCCTGCCTGGCCTGCTTCAAGCAAACAGCTCCAGCAACTACTCTCACTCTCTCTATCCCTTCCCCTTTCATCCGGCTTGCCTGTAACAAAGCAAAAAAAGCAAAAGCAAAAACACCAGCTTCTTACTCTCTCTTCGATCAGCTGGTTCAGAATGGCAAGCTCCACCAAGCCTTCTCTCTTCCCCTTCTATCGGCTTCCTTTTTTCTCTTTCCTCCTCCGAGCCCCGCCCTGCCGCCAGACTCATGGCAGCTGCCGGAGCTCCTCATCTTCCTGTCTAATCGGCAGGGCTCCTGCAAAGCCTCTCAGCTGGCCCCATTCTCACCCCAACTCCGCTACAGTGGCAAATACTGAAAAAAACTTTTAAAGGTCTGTTGCTTTCAGAATAGATAACGCTAAGTAAATTGAACAAAATGAGCAACTAAACACAGCACTGATAATGCTGAAGAAGATATCTTAGGCTATATCTGCATTATAAACTACGTAGAACATAGTTTACCAGATTATTGAATAATCTGGATTTTTACACATCAATGAAACATAAGCCATCTATAATTAGATCTCAACTCACAACTGTAAATGAATCTGGAATTATGAGTGTAAATGATTGCAATTGTTAAATAGATCACTACGTGAGTGGACCCAAATTTATGATATATTTTGCAGTGATCATTAATCAAACATGGTGATTGTTAAGTGAATTTATTATACTTAATGGGCATTTTTGGCAGGAAACCAGAAGTAAATACTATAAACACACACAAAAAAAGTTAAAAATTGTGATTATGTTTACAGGACACTGCAAAAAGCAGTAAAGGTGAGCCAGTTGCTAAGTGCTCGAAATGCAATTATGTGACTGCGGTGTGTGTGTGTGTTTGTCTATGTGCGTGTGCAGCTGTCGTAACTTCAAAACTGGGTTGTAAGTACTATATGGGGCATCTGTCACAAATTTGAATGATCTCTAAGCAACTGGTCTTAAGTTGAGACCTACCTGTATACTGACTCAATTCATATAACACAGTGAACCTCAAAATAGTCAACCTAATACAATGTATTAACTCAATCATTACATTATATTATCCCAACTCAAATATGGCATCTCAATTATGCAGATACAGCAAACTTTTTATTTTATTTTCTATTCTCAGTTTTTTTCACCAGACCAGTAGAATACCTGATATTCAACTATTATTTAATAAAAAAAATCTCTGTATATTTTACTTAAATTCTATTCATATATATATTTTATTTAAAAATATGACATCTTCTTTAAGTTACAACTCCTAGCAACATCATGATCATATTTGTGTAGTTTCACTGCAGCAGTATGGAAGTGATTTATTTCTGCTTTCTTCCAGGTTTTTTTTTTTTCATTAATATAAACTACAGCTCTGGAACTTTTTGGTAGTTTTTCACCCAGATTTGACTCTACTTAATTATTCTGAGATCCATAATCAGTTAAATGTTGCTCCATAGTTGGGTTACCCTTATATGTGTTTGTTAACACCCTCAAAAAACTAATAGTAGATCATTTAAACAGGACTTTCCTTTAGGGAAGCATGTTGAGTATCCCTGAGCAAGGCCTCTCCAAATGATCATTTTATCTACCAGTAATAGCAGTTTTCACTATCTTCCTGGAAATGTTAAGCTATAGACCTATAATTTCCTGGATTTCCCTGCAAGCTCTTCCTAAAAATTGAGTTACGTTGGCCAATCCTCAACTATAGAGGACAAGTATATATAGGCTACATGTTTTAGTTAGATCTACAATCTCAACTTTAAGCTCAACTCTTGGGTGAATGTCATCAGGGTTCAGTAATTTGTTGATGGTCAACCTGTCAGTATGGCCTAGCACAGGGGTGTCAAACTGCCGGCCCATGGTCCGGACGCATCATGTGGAAGCCGCGCCCACCCCATTGCCAGCAATGGCAAAACCGGCCAGATACATTGCGCAACATCATGTAACGTTGCGAGTTTGACATGCCTGGCCTAGCATATTGCTTCTTTTATTATCTCTGTATAGCTAAAACAGAACAGGAGCTCAGGCTCAGGGAACTGCCCAACTTTTTCCTGTGAAGATGAAAGTAAAAAATTTCTTCAGCTTCTCTATCTCAAAAGTGCTTTTTCCAAAAGACAACTAGATATCCTTGTTTTTTTTTCTTTGAAAACATTTTGCTTCTTATGCAAGAGGTTCCTCAGTAATGAACTGAAGAAATTGAAGAAGCTTCTTGGATGTGAAGTTAAATGTTTTCAAAGAAAAAGAACAAAACAAGAACATCTAGTTGCCTTTTGGAAAAAGTATTTTTGGGACAACCATGACCTGAATGATTGAGAATCTCCATAAACATTCAGCTTCTCTACAATTTACTTTTCTTCTTTTAGCATTTTCTTTGACTCCTTCATCCAAAGGACCCATGGCCTCCCTGGCTGGCTTGCCACTTCTGTGAAGAATCTTATTATCTAGTTAGATTAAATAACTGTCTTTTGAGGATGGAATGCATTTTTTGAAGGCAGAAAATAGTAGTATACACAATAATTTATGTGAATCTCATCATTAGGAAATTTTCAACGTACTGACTTCCAAGTCTGTTCTGCCTATTCTTGAAATTTACTCATACAGCGCTAACATACCTACTACTGCACACTTGTATGTCATCAAAGCAGCCAAAGCTTTTACTTCATCAGCACCAACTGATTTGCTATATCGAATCCCTGGAGAAAGAGAAATAAATATATATCAATGTATATTGAACATATATATCCATTGCAAACACACTTTACTATTTTTGTGAACTCTGGTAATAAGTGTTTGAGAAAGCTACACAATATGTATCAAAGACTCTTTTATAAGGCTTTTACATAGATCCTTTATTTGCACTAGCCTCAGTCACACAAAATTTCCTGTCTAGAGTTGTGTTAGCCTGATACATTTTGTTTCTTAATTTCCACATTTTGTTGATGAGAGGAAAAGTTACATACTGGTAGATAATTGGGAAAAAGAGGGAAGATGAACTACTCAGCTTGAATTATACCTTGATATCTTTAGTAACAACAATTAGCCACTTGTGAAAAGTATATTCACATTATGATAAACACTTTACAAGCCAACCTATGATTGGGTGTATTTGTCATTGCTTTAGACCAAGACCAGTAGGAAAGACAATGTTATGTATTTTCCAATTTCCTCCAAAATACTTAACGATTTTCCATTACTTCCAAATGTTTACATTTTAAAAAAATAACTGTCAACTTTTCTAAAACAATTCATAATTTTAGGACTGTATTTTTAAAAAATCTATTTCTAATATTAGTGTTTAAAAAAACCTTCTAGTTAATACTCTTTAATACTCTTCCATCTCTTTGATGGAAACTAATCAAAGAGAGAAGCAACCTAGAACTAACTAAGGAGAAATTTCCTGACAGAACAATTAATCAATGGAACAACCTGCCTCCAGAAGTTGTAAAGTTCCAACACTGGAAATTTTTAAGAAGAGACTGGACAATCATTTGTATGAAATGGTATAGGGTTTCCTGCCTAAGCAGGGGGTTAAACTAGAAGACCTCTAAGGTCTCTTCCATCATCATCATCATCATCAATATTCACTAAAAATTGAACATTATTACTAATGATTAAAAAAGAAAAAAAATCAGTTGAGCAGATAGCAGTACCATTTTATTAAACTAGATGGCAGCATTAATGAACGGAAAGCAGCAAGCCATTTTTCAAAGGAGTTCTATTTTTAATACTAGAAAAAAAAACTATTGTTTGTTTTTAGACCTATCAGATTTCAATTGCAAAAATCTGGACCACTAGACTATAGTAAAAAGTTAGTCAACCTTTTCTTGGCTGTTTACCAAATGATAGATAAAACCTTAGTTGGAGATAATCTGGATTTTTACAACCCACATCTATCAGATTTATTTTGTTAGAAAGCAAGCAGTTTACATACTGCTTAATAACTCTGAAAACTAGGCTTCCTTAAACAGCAGGGATTGGTAACTACAACTTGACAGATCTTAAAATAGCCAGATATCTACTTCTGTCTCATTTTGCAACTATTTCCAACATGTGTTTATAAACCTTTTTCCTTCTTTCCATAAAACACAGGTTCACTACTGGTAGTCACGTGGTACAGATTGTCAGATATTAATCTGTTTTTGTTTGGTTTTTCCAGATGGCTATGTTTACTTTTAACAAATTCTAAAGATGTAATCAATTAATATATTAAACACCAATTTATTTTGCAATTTGTATTTGAAGTCTTTCATCTGCTCAAGCAGACAACTTAAGTAACTTTTAACGCATCTAATTCTATGCATAGATTTGCATAAGAATGAACCATAAACTAGTCCATTATATTTTAAATTTATTGTGTGAATCCATAATTATCTTGTGTAGAATATCATATAGACCAATATGCAAACCACAGTTCAGTCAATCAGAGCTAAGTCTAGCCAACACAACCAATAACTGCAATTCTATATATATTTAAATACGTTTGAATATCTTCAAGGCCAGTTACTACTTTAGAATATCTACATTTGCTGTGAAAATACAATTAACTTCGTTTTTATCGAAGTTATTTATTGCTTAAATTTATTGCTTAAATTTACGATACAGGAGGTGCTCTTCAGGCTCACCTCCTTTGCAGGGCAAACGGTGCTGGCTGTGTTGGGCACGACAGCCCTTGATCACCTCCAAACAGCCACTGTCTCTACGAACCGGGAAGGCCACCTCCAGGACGTGGCCGCAGCACCGGATTGCGTCGAGGACCCCGCGAACCCGCAGCACTCGTTCATTCTCGTCCTTGGGAGTGCGAAGCCGCTTCACGAGTTCCTTTTCAATCACACGCTCCGCTCGGTCGCAGTAGTTTTCGACTATGCCCAGAAAGCTGGGTTCTCCCTCAGCCCCCTTTGCGTGCTTCCACCGGCCGGGCACGAGCGCTTTCCCGCGACTTCTGCCTAGAACGTCCCCGCCCCCTACGGATGGTTCTTGTTCCCATGGAAACAAGGCCTGGTACTTCTGAAGCCCTGGCGAACGCCGGAGCCCCCCTGGGGGCTGCCACGAATAATCCCGCCCAAAGGCAGTTTCTCGCAGCCGACCCCACGCCTTCAGCAACCACCGCATTGGACACGTGAGAACGGAGGGCACCGCCTTTTTTATGAGGCAGAACAAGGTCAAATTTTAGTCAGCTCTGTCACGCAGAACAAAAGGTGAGGCGAAGCAACGACCTAAATTGAATAGGGAATGTCGAATGGGGAAATTTTGATTGGACAGGAGACCATCCAATGGGAAAAAAGGGCGGGAAAAAAGGGCCTCGGTTGTGGGGTTAAAAGCAAGACAGCCGGAAGAATGTAAACCATGCCTAATGGGGAGTAGAAGGTGGTAGAGACTGGACCTAGCGCGGCGGTCTTTAAACTTGGCATATTTAAGATAGGTGGACTTCAACTCTTAGCATTCCCCAGCTAGCATTAAAAAAAAAGCGAAAGAAAAAGTTGTGATGGATGATGTGGATGAGATATCTTCAAAAAGAAAGAGCTGAGAAAGTAAAAACAAATTGCAAAGTTATCACGATATGTGGATGTTGTGGAACCCAGGATGTAGATGTAAAAAGATGTGCAATAGGCAGATATGAATAGTGTTGGAATAAATTAAATCTAGCTGTATTTTTTCCTCTTATTTTCTTTTGTATGTTGTTTCTTATAATTTTATGATTTGCATTAGGTTGCTTACCCCAACAGAATAGCATAAAGATAGTATATATTTAACTTACATTTTTCATTTTCTGCTTTACTTTCATAATGAGCTATTTCTTAGTCTTGTTTACTTCCAACTATTACAATTTTATTAGATACGTTTAATGGAGCCCTATTTTTCAGTCATTGAATCCAGTGAGTAACGTATATATCCAGTAACATCTCTAAATATTGGACATGTTGCAGTCTGTACTGAGATAACTAAAAACATAGCCTTGCGTTAAGTTTGGCTTATTTTTGATGATTTGTACCATGTATAATGTCATTACACAAATGATATGAAATATGTCATTTGTATCAAAATATTTAAATATCAAATTCCAGTTTATGTGAACTAAGTCATTATGGTTTATCAGCTATTTATAGTTTAGCCTGATATATTAACTCAGGTAATTTTGCCATATGAAACAAATCATGGTTTAGTATGTGTGAAGCCAGTGATAGTGTATTATAATTTGCACGCTTTCAGTCCAAACTGTGCCTGGAATATTTTATATAATTTGAAACAATAAAAAACATCTTTAAAAAAGAGAAATGAGGGCAGGGGACTCGCTAAGAAGAAATCAAGAACAGTCAGGTAAAATCAGAAATGAAGATCAATGATGGAAATCTCAAAACTGGAGCTGAAAATTGAACATGTGCTTAAATTCCTAGGCAAGCTAGAATATTGCTAGAGCTGGTTTTGTTCACACTCCTACTTATTCTGCCCATCTTTGAGAACATATAGCACTGAAACTTTTTTCAGAATCTTTCCAGGTCGATTGATCCTAAAGATACCAGCTTGTCACTTTGCCCTTGTGAATCGAATTTTCCTGGAGTTTTTTTTTGTGTGTGTGTGAAACCTTTCCTTTTGCATGATCCTAAGAGTTAATTAATAGAACATTCATTTCTTCACAGTCTTATATATTCATTACTGCAGTTTCATTCTTTTTTAAAAAATATGGCTTAATATATTATTTCAGTGGTGTATCATATAATAAAACTGCTAGCTTGGTAAGTTTTAATTTTATTTATTGAAATCAACTTTATATCATCTATTCAGAAGACTTTAAATAACATTATCATAAGGCAACCCATGGAAATCATCCTTTTTATATTACAAAACCATTATAAAAAAAGAATAGGTCACTCAATATTCATCAATTAGATGCAAGCTATGTGAAAAGTAAGATTTACAGTGCCTTCCTGAAGTTAAAAAATTCAAAACTACTTAAACACTAAATTGTATGTACTAATTGCAAATTTAAACACTAATTTCTTATGTTTATTCAGATACATGAGCATGAATGCAGTCTTTGACAGTGTTGGTCTTTCCAAGTAGATGGACAAAGCACTTTTCCCCATTTGCAAGTTCAGTGCTTACAGTGGGTGTTTATGTCCATCAATTTCTTGATGGATGAACAGCTTTCAGCAGTATTAATACAAGCTTTGTTTGTTACACAATCCATCCGCTCTGCAAGGCATTCTATTCTCAACGAAGACTTCATCCTTTATAGTCTATTAGTTGCACAGCTTGTCTTTCTCCTAGTGTTTTGCAAACATCTGTAGCCTGATATCAGTATAATGAAGAAAACTATGAGAAGTAGAACTGGCAACAACGTAACTCAAAAAGGAAAGATTATTATTATGGTTCATCGCACAGTCAACCAGTTGTTCAGACTGGATTTGGCATTTTTATCTACCTATTGAGTCCTTCCTAAGAACCCAGGATAGGCAGATATTGATGTTTTATAGTGTTAAAGATATCATTTCAGGATATAAGATGTTTTGAGTAAAGCTGCCTTTTGCAATTGATTGAAGGTGAATTTATCAAGCCAGAGGTGTTAAAGTGGTGCTCCAGTTGTATTAGGATTATACCCAAGGCGCCTATAACTATTAGTATTACCTTTGCTTTTTTTTTTTTTGACACAGTCATTCTATTTCTATTTGCAGGTTTTTGTATTTTGTTATCTTCTCCAGGTCTTTCTCTCCTATTCTGCTGTCTCCAATCCACTATCCAGATTTTTTTTTTATCTCTCTTATCAAGTCTGGAGTGTGGTATGGGATATGTTTGTCTCTTTGAATTCTAAATTCCAAGAGCACTTTGGCTTAATTCATTGTGGTACCATCAGTTCTTATTTTCAGGCAAGTGGTATTTCTTGCAGATCTTCCAATGCACCATTGATGCTACTTTGTAATGCCATTATTTGTAGTCAGTCTGTGTGATCTTCTTGCAGTTGCTAACCAGGTGTTCTTCTGTTTCTTAAACTTCTTTGCAGAGGTGGCACTTGCGGTTGTTGCCTTCTCCATTCTGGCTTTGTATACATCTCTTTCCTGCTTTTAGCCATTGCCAGGTCTTGTTATTATCTGCTTTGCCTGGTGCTTTTTAATTTACTGGCCATATAATATTTTGTCTTCTCATGTCTCTTTTGTATTCTAAGAAAATATAAATATTTTATAGATGTTAGCCTTCATTTCCCTTACTATTTGGATATCTTTGTGATATGTTCATTTTGTAACTCTATCTTCAAACTATTGCCTATTATTTGCTTGGCTATATCCAAACTCAGATTTCCCAGAAATCGGGAGAGAGAGCAATTATATATATTTTACTTATCACATGTATCCACCAACAAGATCAATACCATCTCTTTAATTAGAAATGTCCATTAATATGCAATGTTTGCTATTTATTCCAAAGTTTGTCTCTATAATTCAGAAATGTCAAAGTGTGCCAGAATTATCATTGTAAGATTCAGAGAATTCCTTGTCAGAGTTTTGAAAGTAGTCATTGCTTCTCAAGTGGATAAAATAGTTCTCATAGGACAGCTGACAAACTTGACTAGAATGGGAACTCTCCCAATATGCTATATTCAAGGCTCATGTGATTAATTCTCGGTAAGGCTCTTCCTGTCAGATTATTATAAAGGGATTACAAAATAATCACACTTTTAAATGTATTCTCCTATTCTATGCATGGATGAAAAAAATTATGCCAGATTCTAGACTCATTTTTCTGAGACAGTATGTGCATGTTCCAGCAATTAAGGATCAAAAGGGCCATAAGCAGTTGATGTGGTCAGGCTTGAAAAAACAGATGAAAATAAAAAGAGCCAGAGGTAGGATACACAATCAAAACATTCCGGTGCTTTAATATAAGGCAGGAAACTAGGGGATTTTGTGTAATACTCAATGAAATAAGTTGTCTAAACTAAAAAAGAATCTGATTTGGTTATAAAGGCTTTATATGTCCTTATGTGCTGGTATTGGCCATGACGTTAACTGACACTGTCCTTATTGTCATATGGTGCTGAGCCAAAATGTATCTTACTGTATTTGGCTTAATTTTTTTGTTTAGCAATTTGTGTAAATTAGATATATATTTTTTGCAAATCATGGCTTATGCTCAACCAGTCTTATGAAAATGACATATGGTTGAAGTAAAGCATGTGTGAGAATAAATGAAATGCTTAGCAAATGTTTTGGCAATATGGATGGACTAAGCAAAAGATATGCAGTATCCCTCTTGGTGGCTTTATGCATTTATGGATAAAGATAAAGATGTTGAGACTCTAGAAAGAGTATAGAGAAGAGCAACAAAGATGATTAGGGGACTGGAAGCTAAAACATATAAGGAACAGTATGGAATTGGGTATGTCTAATTTAATGAAGAGAAGGACGAGGGATGACATGAAATCAATGTTCCAATATCTCAGGGGCTGCCACAAAGAAGAGAAAGTCAAGCTATTCTCCAAAGCACCTGAAGGCAGGACAAGAAGCAATGGATGGAAACTAACCAAAGAGAGAAGCAACCTAGAACTAAGGAGAAATTTCCTGACAGTTAGAACAATTAATCAGTGGAACAACCTACCTCCAGAAGCTATGAATGCTCCAACACTGGAAGTTTTTAAGAAGAGACTGGACAGCCATTTGTCTGAAATGGTATAGGGTTTCCTGCCTAAGCAGGGGGTTGGACTAGATGACCTCCAGTGTCCCTTCCAACATTATTGTTGTTGATATTATTATTTATAAGAGATATTTATGATAGAGGAAGAGGCAGAGGGATGTTAATAGGGGACATGAATGAATATAAAGTGTAGATATGCTGTTGACAGTGAAACCAAGTTGGTGTTAATATAATGAATATTTATAATTAGTGTTAACAAAACCAAGGTATTGTGTTTGATAGAAGAAATGGAGTGAGCCTGGCACTGATCCTGGCACTTCCACTGAGCCCTGAGAGCCCTGCAGTTCCAGCCATCTCTCACTCAGGCTTGTGCGGTGCTGCTACCGGTTCAGCTCATTCCCCTCTCCCACTACCACTTTTCTAGGATGGTCGCGTACCACCTGCCAGGTGCCAATGTACCACAGATGGTACCCGTACCACTGGTTGAAGCGCCTTGGTTTAGGCTATATAAATGCTAGCAGAAAGATAGCGGATAGTATGACTATTGAAAGTAATGAATGAATGT